CATTATATATATATATATATATATGTTTTTTTTTAATATTTGAAGCTGTGTTTTAGCAAGGTGGCCAAATTGCAAGTAATTTGAACTCTTTTGACATTTAGGTAGTAATTGTCTTACTATTTTTAAAATTTTTACAATTGGCAGTTTTCTATTTTTGAATATGTACATAATGAGGAATTTGTTATATGTATATATACATTTTTTTTTTATTTTATATAAGAAAAAAAATTTAATTTTGTATATTTCTTCACTTCTTTTTAATTAACATATTGTTAAGAATGCCAGATTTCTTTTTTCAAGGTGTTAAAAATTTTTTTAAGCACTCTTATGTATGTGTTTCTTAATGTAACACCTTCATATGTAGGACTGATAGACAATTACATATGCAAATTTGCATAATGACATACAAACACACATTCTGTACAAAACAATAACATGCTGCTAATTAAAATTTTATTTTGTATGTTTAAAATAAACACTACTAAAAAATTGATTGTATGTTTTTGTACATTAGGAATAGTTTTATGTTTCTTTAAAAATTTCAATAATTCTAAGCACGAATTTGATTAATATATTCGAGTGTGCATTTATAGTTGGCTATTTTTATCTGGTATATATTATATATTACATATAGTAGGCATTCTTTGCTTCTTTCCCCTCCCCATATGCACGAAGAAAGCTTTACTTTTATGGATTCTGTTTTTGATGAATTAAATAATGGGATTAAGGAATGGCATATTGGTTTGCATGTTGAACAAAGTTCCAGAAAAATCAATTTAGCCCTCGGCATTCCATTTTTTTATTTTTTTTATTTTGTTTTTGGCTTTTGTCCCAGTTCTGCTTCTGTGTTTTTTGGAATGTTTCGATGAGAATTTTCCATTAAAATAAACATCACGAACAACATATTTATCGATTAAATTTTATTAAAGTAATAATTAATTAAAAAATTGGCTGTCACATGTAAAGAAGAATGAATCAATAAGAAAAACATTTAGACAAATTAATTTTTAAAATTTTGTTTTGTTATTATTTAATATTTTATCTGAAATAAACAAACTGAGTTTTAATTAATTGAACTATAAAGTAAAGAAAAAAAAAAAAAACATGATTTATTGAATGACAAATTATTTTTTGCTGTTAATTAATATTATTCTAGCTTCAAAGTAATTAAAAATAAATCTACTTGATAATTTTATATCTTGCTAAGTTATTAAAGGAATATTTGTGATACAAAATGTACTGTTTAAAATGTAACAAAAAAGAAAAAATTGATTTCTAAATAAAATGGAATTTATCAAATTAAAATATTCTTTCCAATTACAACCATCATGATTAAGATTTTAAATAATTTTTGTTTTTTTTTAAATCTCTTACTTCCATTTTTAATGAAGCTATTTAATTTATTTGTTAAAAAATGTTCACCAAATCCTCGTCTTTCAGCTTCGTTACTAATAGAAAATTTATCTTTCAATTTTTTTTGGATTTTTGTGGGATGAAAAAAAATTTGCCATTTAATAATTTTGTTAACTTTATTTTAGTGTTTTGATGAATTTCTTAACATAAATTGATTACACTTGTTAATTTTTTTTGCACTACGTAAACAATGGAAACAAAATTATTATGTAAATTTATGTTATGCTTGTAATTGAAAATTATGCAGT